TTTTTTTTTTTTTTTTTCTTCTCCCCCTTTTCCTTTCGATGTTCGAATATAATTCAGGGAAGGGTGGTAACGGTTTCCTCGCGAGGAAATTTTAACGTACGTGTACAGGGGCAGCAATTTTAAGCGAGTTATTGGGGAAAATTAATTATTGCTCGGGAGTTTCTAGTGTTCTTGAATTAAAAGTAACGAAACCGGGGCAAAAGTAGAGTTATTCGAGTAACGAGTGGAATATCAAATGTAATATTCGTGATTTTAAGACGATTAATGTTTAATTAACGTTTATTGTAATGTAATTAATGACGATTAACGTAACAACCCACGAAGTGTTTTACACTTTGGTCGTTTCAGCTTGCATCGATTATCGAAAAAAAAAAAAAACAATAGAGGATATAATGAATGTATAAGATATAGTAGAATTTGATGTATGATTTTTAAAAATAAAAAATCAAAAATTTAGATTTATTTATATATAGAAATGTTAGAATAGGTATATTGCATAAAAAGTTTTTGTATTTCAATGGAATTTATTTCAGTTTATCGTGTGATTTTTGATGAATAAATATAATATTGAAAAATAATCGTAATTTTATAATATTAATAACAATTTGAAGTATATTGAGTATTTTAAAATTTATTAATTGATAATAACATAGATTTCTATCATTTAAAAATAAAAAAGATTAAAAAATTGGAAATTGTGTTTTACTCAATAGTTGTTATATTTATTATTAAACAGAATGAAATTTATAATTATAATGATTATTGTAAAACAATATATATATAAATACGTCTTTAAAACTTTATTAATACTTTACAATGTCTCGTACTTATTACCAGAATTCCCACTTCTCCAATTCCAATTTAATTTAGAAAAAGTGAAAAATTCATAGATTCCTTAAAGTTTTATGAAATCTAAAACCTAAATCTTTCATCACCTAAACCTTATACCCATTTAATCTTTTCTATTTGCAGCTCTCCCATTCTCTCCCTCTCTTTAAATCAAAAACGAAAAAAAAAAAAAAAAAAAAAAAGAGAACGAAAGAATTATCCCATATTCCCCTCTTACTACTTGCACAAAAAAATAATTTTCTCGTCATCGAAATTTCGTTTCTTTTTCACCGACTATATTCAAAGCTTTAACGAGTTGCCGCTTCTCGTTTCTTTCTCTCTCTTTCTCTCTCCATTCCGCGATTAACTCGAACGATCCGCTCTCCCAGAAGGGTAAATTAAGATCCCTCGACGTCGAACGACCCTCAAAGAGGCAACGTCGGTGGCGCGAACGAAACAATTTTATGAAAAGGGCCGTTTCCTCCGATGATAAAACGTCCTTCGAAAAAACGATTCACCGTTGTGGAAAATTGGGTCGCTCGTCACGCTCGAGCTCACTGGAAAACGAATGCACACACAGCGCGCGCTCCACTCCATCGATACGCCGATAATTAAAAATCGGGCTGCCGAATTCACCGGGGGGATAATTAGTCGGCGCGAAACGTTACGGCGTGTCTGTTTTGCGCGGGCCAACCTTTTGTAATCATCGCCTATACTATAAACCGAGAACTGGGTCGAACTTTTGCCAACCCCTTTCCCTCCTCCTCCTTCTCCACCGTTGCATCGTTGCGCTATCGGTGGATCGATCCTGGAATTATTAGGTAATTATCGCGGTGCGCTGAGGATAATTTCGAAATCGATTAGAGGGAGGGGTGATGATGCGAGGATCGCAAGTGCGAATTTCCACGGGTGGGAATTAAAATGC